ACACGGACCATTTCGGAAAAAATTACCTCAAGGGAAACCTTGATGACGAAAGTTCTGAAAAAAACCTTTTTGAATCCCTTGTAAAGGAAGGGTCAAAACTCGAAAAAACCGAATAATTTTAAGTATGAATAAAAAAAACATAAAAGGGATTTTTTAAAAAATGTATCCACATTATATTTTTAACCCCAAAAACGGGGAAAAAGGGAAGGGGGAAATGAATGATCAAAAACAAAGGGGAAAAATTGCAAAAAGGGATGATTTTTTGGGTTGAAAATTTAAAATTTTTTAATTTAAAAAAATTCCCTCGCAAAATTTCCCAATGTCGTCAATTTTTTTAGCATAAGGGGCAGGGGTTCTATTATTTAAATTTTTTTTTTTGTAAGTTTAATGGGGGAAAATTTTATTTTTGAAAAAAATCTTTAAAGGGTTTAATTCACAAATTTTACTCTTTGCAAAAGCTAGTTTTTCTGGGTTTTTTAAGGAAAATGGAGAAAAAATTCATACAAAAAATTTAGCACACAATCTTGTTTTACGTTTAATGGGGGGGACTCATCTTGCAAGGGACCCCCAATTTTGAAAAGTGGGGTTTCTAAAGCCCCATCAAACCATTTTTTTGCTGAGGGTTAGAAACCCCTATTACACAGCTACGCCAGTTTTAAATTTTAAAAATCTTTCGAATAAAAAACAAAAGGGGCTTATTAAATAGGAGGGGAACCCAGGGTTTAACTTTAGGGTACCCGGAAGTTTTTTGTTCAGCTTTTGGGGGGAAAAATTTAAAAAGAGAAAATTTAAAATTTTTTGATTGGGGGAAACATAGATGAAGAATTAGGGCGTTAAACTTATTTGGAGGGATACCATTTTATCAAGGTTAGGACTTCTTAAAGGCATTATTTTATCTTTGTTTCATTAAGCTTGCTCACCCTTTATAAAAATGTTTTATATATTCCACTCATTGAAGGGTTTGAGTACCATTACTAATTCTATTCGACGAGAGTTATTATTACGCGGGACGCTATTCGAGTCTTGTATATTTACGAAATCCAATATAACCAGTATTATTCTCAACCATGTCAACATGACCTCTTTTTTCATTTCACCATTATTTATATTTTTGAAAAAACTTTAACTATACTTCAATATAATTTTAAATAGAGTGTTATAAAGTATTTCTTAAGAAAGCGCCATTTAAAACGAAAGACAGTAAAATGGTTGCAGACTCGTTTTGGTTGAAATCTGTTCATGAAAGGGAAAATGGAAAAATCACGTTAAACATCCACCTTAAAACAGAGACGCATAGCCAATATTTTCTTCGCTTTAAATGGTTTCATTCATTTTTCTTGTAAATGTCCTCAAAATTAAATACTCTAGGCAGTTCACAGGGAACCCCCAAAACGTTTTTCTCCTTAGAAAGAATTAAATGTAGTTACGAGGGGTCAGGTACGAGCGTTAGTTTCACAATAAGTTGTCACAGTGATCTCTGAAAACGTTAAATAACATATCAAATGAATTGCCTTAGACTTGTTGCAAATCCCATACAATATCCACAATATCTGTTTTTTTCAAAACTTCAAGGGTTCGTTACAAAAGTCATATGACTTGCTTAAGGATTACTGATTCTTTTCAGCGTTTAAATTTCTTCCAACATATTGTAGATATTTTTACCCTTCAAACCAAAAAAATCATAGAAATGTTATACAGAAATTCATGAAGGAAAGTCATTTTTGTGTGTGTGATTTGAGTGCTTTAAATCCATTTTAACGGGTAAAATTTTAAAATTCATTAATTTGGGCCTTGACACCCCTTTAACAAAGTAAAAAAATATTTTAAGTTTTTTAAAACATCAATGGGGTTTATTAAATTAGGGGAGGTTACCCCTTTGAAACCCCCAACGGACGGGGTTAGGGCTATTACATGAAAAGGGGGCGTATGGGTCCCCAATTGAAAAAATTTGGAAATGTTCCCCCTAAAAGGGAGAAAACAAGAGCGGAACTAAAATTTAAAAGGGAAAATTTTAAAAGGGGAATCAGAGATTAAAATAATTTTTAAAAAGGGACAAAATTTGAAAATTTTGGGGCAAAACTTTTTTAGGGATTTTGGACCCTTTAAAAGGGAAATTTCCCCAAATCTTTTTGGGGTTATGATAGGGCATTTAAAAGAGTACCGGGGGAAACCCCCTGGAAGCAAAAAATTTGAAATTTTCAATTTTCATTTTGCCCTTTGAAAAGTCGTGGGGAAAATTTAAAATTTATTGGGGGGCCACATTTGAAAAAAATCTTTCATGAATGTTTTGCCCCTAAATTTGGGGCCCCAATTTAAATAAAAAAAATCCCAAAAATGATATAACAAATTTAAAATAATTAAATATTTTGAGGGTTAAAGGGTTTAATTAAAGTTTGAAACCCTTTCAAGATTAGCAAAACATATTTTCAAGCAATCAAATTTGATTTAAGATGTTTAGAACACCTTAAAAAAAATTAAAATTTTAAAAAGGGAAATTTAAATTTACTTATGTTTTTAAAGACCCATGATTGATTTTTCCCAGAAATTAAATAACTTATTTTTTAACTGCATAGTGAACGCAGTAAAGGGCCCCTACTAACGCAAATAAATCTATTTTTGCCTCTTTCTTGAAAATGTTGCCCTTGATATGAGAGTTCATTACATGAATACAGATAATTTTTTTTGCCTTACATTTGTCACAACAGTTTTACAATTGAACAAATTCCCTTCATTTTTTCATGGATTTTTTTATCTGTTTAGGTGTGATTTAATTCATGGTGCAAAATGTTTTTGTCTCGGCGTGACGGGATTTCTTAGGTTTTGACCTGGATTATACTCGTTTTAACCACTTGTTGAATTTTATTTAAATTTGTTGATTAATAAAATTTTTAACATAAAGCTAGTATTTATACTAAAAATTATTCGTGGTGTTAATCTGATAATATTCTTTGATAAACTCATGATTTAAATCCAATTTATATTTCTTTGATTAACAAAATTTAGCAAACTTTCAAGCCCATTCTGCAAGCATTGGTTTGAAGAATACTGCACGGTTTGAATTCAAATGCGTTAGGAATATAATCACGAAGGCTGATATGTTTTGAATGATTAATTTACAAAGCATTTGAACAAAAAAAACTGTGCATTTTTTATAACTATAATTCACGAAGAAAAAAAATATCTATTTCCATTCTGACACGTCGAGAAAAAATTTATAGTTGGGGACTATATGTTTGGTGTCGGTTAAAATTCCTTTCGCCTGATGAGAGTATCCAATAGGACGTTTCTTTAAAGCTGTTTTCCAGTCGGTTTGAAAAAAAAAAAAAAATGTTTTTAGGTCTATCGTTTGCAGAAACATTTTTGAGAAAAATGAATTTTAAAACGTTCATAAATTTTTTGTTTTTTTTACTTTATTTTCACTTTATATCTTTTCGAGCAAATACACTGTTTTTATAATAAATAAATAATTTTTGAAATTTAACTGGTTTGCAGCATTTCAAAGCGTCTTGTTTTTGGAAAACCCTGCACGCGCTTTTTTGGCGCTACATTGTTACGTCATGTAAATAACACTTTCAACGTATTGTACAGCGTTAATGACTGAATTAAAAATATTGCTGTTCGGGTTTTATTTTCTTAGTTGAGACCATTTCTTATCATTCTAGATGGTTTTCAGAAACAAAATTCACCATACAGTTTGTTTTATTACAGTTTGTATATCAGATTTTTCAAACAAAATGGACTCCGTCAATATTGCGGTCTGATAATTACAGATGGAGGCAATAAAAACTGCGAGTGCATTGTTGTTGAAAAATATCACGCTTTCCAGCCTTCATTGTTTATATAAAAGAATCTCCGATAGGTGTTAGAAAAAAAAATTTGTTTGCTACTAGTTTCTTAATTTAGTTTTATTTTAATTTAAACCCTTTTTTTTTTTTTCTCTAAAAAGTAAAGATATTTTTAAAAAGGTGCCAAGAACAATTTAAATTTAACTTTTTTTTTAATCCCCAGGATTTAAAAATTAATGAACCTTAAAAACTGCCCCGTTTTTTTAAAAGGGAAAAGTTAAATGGTTAATAAAATTTGTTTTTTTATGATATTTTACAACGGGACTGGGCCCCTGGTACAAAGGGCTGGTGGGCCCGGTCGTTTCCCCTTTTAATTTTAAACTTTTGACTTTTGTTTGTACCCCTTTTTTTGAGGTTTGTTTTTTCGAAAAACAACCCCTTTTAAATATTGTCCTAAATTTGCCCAGGATTTTTGTGTACAGGTGCATTTCGACACCTTTGGGGGGACTGAGAATGAGCCGTTCTCATAAGCTTTTAGACAAGAACGAAGCAAAACAAAAATCACATTTTGCCGTGACAGCAAAATGTTTATATCACCCAGATCGTGACATAGAGATGTACTGTAAAGAGCATGACATGGTTTATTGTTTAAAGTGTATTGCTACAGACCATAGGTTTGTATTTATTTTAGATTTATTTTTCAATGTTAAGTATCTTTACAATTACTACAACGATTTGTTATTAGGATGAAAATAAATTTAAATTTTGTAATAATTGCAATGGTATATCTAAATCATGTGAGATCTAGACAAAAAAAGGTTACATCGAAACGATGGACATTGGAAATGTCGGGGGAATGTTATATGTGCTGTAAATCAGTACTTTTTATAATTGGCAACTTGAAAGCTAGTGTCACTTACTAGCAGATAAAACAAGTAAATAACAAATTCCTGAGGACAAAAAACAACCCCATATTAACAAACACGAATAACTTTTAGTCATGAATTTCAGTTAGGTATAGCAAATACCTATCTATATCCTAGTGATAAGACATTATGATTGTAAAAAAAATCACGCGAAGACAGTTGCCAAATTAATTGTAAGAGCTTTCATACAGATGAAACCAACAAGATCATCTCTATAAATGTATCTAGTTAATACGTAAAGTAAAAAAATCCTAAAATAGTTAGAATACTGAAATGTAGATGCTGAATATACTGAATTACTTTATCTGAGAAGTTAAAATTTCTTGTTACCAGGTCCTGTAAGGGAGTGTCAGGTTTAGACGACTTATCAGTTTCTACTGATCAGAAAAGAGAAACAGAACGTTTAAAGGCTGACATTATTAACACCCAAGAACGTTTAGAAAATACTGATAAGAAAACGAAAACAAACCTGAAAAGCATTGAGGAACAAAGAAATGACGTCATTTCGCAAATAGAGGGAATTGTGCGCGGTTTGGTAGAACATATCCAGAAGTTGGAACGTAAAGCTTTAGAAGGTCTAGATGCGGAATATTCTTTGGTCAAAGGAGAACTGAAGACAAATATGTCTAAGATAAGTAAAGCTAAAAAAGAAATTGAGCAAGTAGGAAGCAAGCTACAAGACTTGGACAGTATGGATAAAATACAACAATTTGTTCAGACCAAAAACTGATACAACAAACTTTAAACGATGCAGTAAAAATGTTTGAACACAATGAAGTTAAAAGGCAGTCAGTCATTGTATTTTAAAGGATACAGACTTAAAGTCCTCTGTCAGTTCATCAACATTTCTAGGATATGTACTTTAGGATAACAGAAAGCAAAGGTTTGCTGACATCAAGGACGTATAAAGTTAGTTCACAGAAGGAGGAAAATATCCGCATGAAAAAACGACAAGAGCAATCCCTACATTTATGTGATGTATGTCAGCTTGCAGACGGTACAATCATACTGGCTGATAACAGTAATATGGAGGATAAAGAGGCTTGATGTGAATTATAACATTAAAGATTGTTTTGATCTATGATCATATACTACAGGTATCTGTTGCACTGGTAATACTGAGGTCGCTGTGAAACTGCACAACAGCAAAGTTTGGTTTATATTCAGTAGGAGCTCATTTATCTAAGGTGAGAGATATATCTGTTACAGGTGGATGTCACTGGGGAATGACATTTTTGTGCTGGAGAGTTGTGGGTATCTGCTGGGAACTGTGTAAATGTTATACAGTATGTCTGGTACATTATTAAATTCTTTCGGTAGTGATGTCAATGGTCAACGCATATTTACATCTATACAACAAATGACCGTCAGCGGAGAGAATATTTTTGTAGCAGACTCACGTGATGGTGTTGTCTGTTTGACAAGAGATGGTACGGTGAAAAGAGAACTGAGAGATAAAAGGCTTGCTGACACACGTGGTGTATGTGTATCCAATGACGGGACTGTGTTTATTTCTGGTATAGCTCTCATAACATCATTGATGTTTGATAACGATGGGAAAATGCCTCCGAGAATTAGTTTTCTAAAAGATTCCGGTCTAGTAAAACCACTATCATTATTGTTCGATGACAAGAGAAAACTGTTTAGTTGTTTGCATGCTATTCTGGCAAAATTATAGTTTATTTTATCTGACAATTTTAATATAGTGTGTTTTTTGTTGTTATATTGTACATAGATTTAAAATGCAACATGTGGAGAGAAAGAGTTACAGTTATATGATTAAACATATCATATTCAACGGTCAGCATCTACAAACATTTACATTCCATATTAATGTATGATGATAACCCAATACTTAATATATTCAATCATTATCATATGTTAAACTTTGCTACGCTGTCTAGCTGTTGGTTTTTTTGTCCAGGTTTATGTTATTTACGTTTAGGCTATGAAGACATTGGCCGTGTGTTCTGTACATATTTGTATGCTATAAAAAGCTATTTGCTTTCATGGTATGTGGTGTCTAGTGTTATACACTTCAAACGGCAAATTTCTGACTTCTAATGAAAGAACAAAGACAAAAGATAACCTTATCGATTGTTGTGATTTAACTTTTGGTTAAAACTGTGCATCATTCAATAAGGTAACTATTGCAATAATGGCTAAAGTATTTTATTAAAGTATTATTCTCTTTGTTGTTTTGGCCAAGTAATGCACATGTATCATTTTCTATCTGAACTAACTTTCTTTATATAATACTTAAAAGATTATTGTTGCTCACAGCAGGACACAGTAAAATTCATTTATGTAAATAAAAAAATAACTCTGGTTAACCATATTGTGTTAAAGAGACATTCGCATCTTCTTTGGCCTTCAGTCGAACTTGAGATAAGAAACTCGAACGAAATAGTAAGAATGAATAGAACGGATACGTATTCCGGTAAGAAACTAAACATGTAAACAGATAACAATTTTAATGCTTGTAATTGTTGGCTTTATTTATTTTAATATATTGAGTAAAAGTCTACTTAAATTAAGTATATTTATAGATATAAAAGTCAACAGTACTTACTTTTATCTTAAACTACTTACAATTTGTATTAAGTCCGAAATTATTATGAAGAAAACGCCGAGCAATTCCGTTTGCTAATAATTATGCAAAGCTGTAAATTAGTGTTATGTCAGTGAGGAATGCTGTTCCATATATGAAAGCTTCGATGTAACATTAAATTTTGACCCCATTGAAAATTGACCCCATGTGTCATTTTTAATTGATTTTGATTAATTTTCAAAGTTGAAATATATAAACATTTATTCATTTTCATAAAGTAAACCGGGAGCTAATAACAACTTGCCAATGCATCCTGATAACGGAAGGCTAAATGATACATTTGTACTTGTGTAGTAAGCTATAATATTACATTACAGAATAATGTACTCGTATATTTATGCTTTTTGCTATCAAACGATATCAAGTAACAGACATTTACTGTTAAATACTGTTTAAGAGATATCATATTGGCTAAAACACATCTACCTCTCTTAGAATGAACATTAACATAAGGATTTACAACGGCTGTGTTATATTACATTCTCATAAATTTGGACCATACGTTCATCATCATTTCTGTACTGATCAGGGGAAGTAACTGCTGCTAGAAGTGTAGTAAATCAGCAACGGCTACTTCCCCTGATCAGAACAGAAAAGTTAGTAGTAAGGTGCGAGGAGGTTGGTGTACCAGAGGTAAAATATTTATTTGTATAATATAAGAAGAATATGATAAGAAGACTTTAAGGGTTTGATGGATATTGCACTTTTTCATTTTCCTTCATGTACAGACTCAATCAAACCGAGTCTGCAATGCTCATAGTACTTTGCTGCTTTTAATGCTTCCAAGTGATCACATTTCTCAAGATGTATTTATACATACATTAAAGGTTAAATAGATTAACAAAACAAGTCATAAATCAAAGTGCACAACTTTTATTACGTAAAGCATAATCTTAATTAGGTTCATATTGCGGCAATGTAAAGCTATCGGTTTTAAACCTCGGAAAGATATTGATTTATTTAAATTAATTCCTGACAGCTATATTTTGTATGTGAGTTCGATTAATTGAATCTTTTTTTTGTCTTAAGATATAGGGAATATATAAGGAAAAATTATGCTGTTATAGCTTTTTGGGGCATCCAGTCGAACGAGATATTTTATAAGATTTAAACTTTTATCTAAAATGTATATTTATACTTTCATTTAGGGCAGTGCGAATCCGAAGTGACCGCCAAACTCCGAGATGACCGCCATTTTTTTTTCAGAATATTATAGTTTTATTGTTGTTTATTGTTGTTTTGTTTTGTTTTCTAGCTGTCGTCATAATATGTAGATAGCTTTTAAATTTGTAATAATACTTGGGAATAATATGCATGCAGGAGGCGCCTTTATGCATCCTTTTTGCTCATGTTTTAACTGGTTACGCATGAATTTCCATGACTTCCTGCACGTGACGTTTCTTGCTAAATCGCACCCATATATGTCACACATCGAATTTTTCACGGGGTTGAAATGCCCCTTTTTATTGCCAATTAGGACTTGTAGGTGCAAGTCTTTATGAAAATGCTTGCAAAAGTAGCAGTCTTACGGATAAGAATCTAATGCCTATGTCACAAATTAAACGGCCGCCGCCCGATTCAACGATTTTCAAAACATCGTCGGCTTTGACGATTTCGTGATCGCCTGGCGATTTTAAATCTGATACTTCGTGGATCATAAAGAAAACTGTTGGCGTCTGTGCGATTTATTGGCGCCGGGTGGTAAAGGCTCTGAATTTTAAGATGTCAATTTTTTAAAATCAGTCAGTAGTCAATATACCAGAAAAGAAGGCAGATGATAGAGACAGTATTAAGACCAAGCAAATAATGCAAGAATTGTAGGATTCATTTTCCTTAATAATAATCCGCGTAGTCCTCAATGTTCTTTTTAGACATAACATCATACAATAATGTTATTGTATATATATGTATTTACTGTATTGAAAAAACTAAAATGCCTCGTCGAAATTTTGCGATGCCTCTGGTTTAAATCCTGTATTCGCGCCAGTATGTTATCTATTTAATTAAAGGTATGGATAATCTACTGTATCTGATGTGCATAACTATATGTTAATTAACGTAATGTAACTAAGACTTGGCAATGAATAGATAACATAGTTAACAATGACTTCGTTTACTGTGAATTGGTTGGATTGTGTCTTGTGTCTTATTCGCCATCAGCGCTGTAATAAGTCGCCCCGTACATTCAATCAGGGATGTTATATTTCCGATCCTTAAAGATCGTTCATAACCTCAGATCCCCTTTCAAAATTCTATTTTATTTAGTTCCGCCCATTGTTTTCTCGTTTAGGGCACACCCATTTTTGACTTGGGGACCATATGCCGCATTTCATGGAATGGCACTAACGTGTCACATTGAAAGTTCCATGATAACCGCCATATGAACACATCTGCGGATGTTTCAAAATTCTAAATTTTACCAGTTCATGTTAAATGTTGAATTCTGCTTAAGCCGGTAATAGGAAGCGTGGGCGGTAGTTTGCAGTTTACAATACTATCCATGAACAGGCTCAATCAAACCGAACCTGCAACATTTTCAATTTTGACGCGTTGGGCTTTCTTTAGGGATTCTTATTTCACTCTATTTTGGGCTGCGTTCTTATGAATGAACAACAATTGCAAATACTATGCGGTATACTCATATTTATTTATTTCTAGTTTATTATGATACAACTATAGGATAAAACTGTATATTTGAAATCTAAATCATGCAAAGTTTTTTTTTAAGTTAACATTCCAAAAAAATTGTTTTGGTTATTTTCAAATAAAACTTTAATAACAATAAAGAGTAGTTTTAACAACGTTGACCAGTTATGTTCTTTAGATTTGAAACCTAACAAAATAAGAAATGGTTCATCATACAGGCCTGAAAATCCACAGTTATTATTTTGAAACTTTTGTCTAAATCAAATAGCAAAATCACTGTTCCATGTCTTGCAAGCCTATACAATTTCCAGTTACTTTATAATACCTGTCTTGGGTGTCTTTATTCCCTGCGGTCTGGAGACCGCAGGGTATTGGTACGCGTTTAACTTTTGAGGCATGGAGGAGCACGTGACCTGTTTTCGGTACATGGAGGAGCATGTGATCTGTAAACCGTATATGATTGGTTAATTGAC